CGAATTCGACTTTGGGTCCATTACAGACAAAAATTAAAGATATATCTGTCGAATAATTACATGTATAGGACTTAATTAATTATAAGTTTAAAGTTACAATTACGCAGTCGCGCTTATGTGAATTATTTTGACGTTATGACAAGAGAAAAAAAGAGGGGAAAAATAATTTTTATCGACGTAAAGATGTAACACAACGCGATTAATGTCTCAATACACGGAGGATACGGAAGAACGCTCGGGATACGCCGACAGAAAAGAAATAAGCACGGGAAAATGGATAATAATCAAAGTTGATACCGCCGCGATAGCATCGATATCGGAATGCAAATTATTGACGTGTGCATTTCGGAAACCTGATTCGCAAACTTTTCCCGGACGTTGCGTTTCATCCAATCGATCTACCCTCGCCGATGTTTAATGAAATACCGATTGGTGTAGGGTGAAAGACCACGGTCTTCCAATGGAATAACGCCGCTTTTTGCCCCCGGTGCGATACGTTGCGTAAAACTTTATCCTTGCCGCGAACGAATTGTCACGTATTAGCGGTAATGAGGTTGATCGCAGTAGCCGATATAAATCCAACTGATCGAGACGAAGCGACTGAATTTCTTCGACTGCGATCATAACGACTGGATCAACCATTTAATATACAGCTATTAAAGTATTGTACAGGGTGTCTGATGCAAGCCGCCCCGTCCGTCATATACTTGTAGTTTAGATCAGTGTGAACAAAAATGTCTCCTACCATTTTGCAAACAGTCTCACCAAATTTTGAGTTATTAATTATTGAAAATGGCTATGTATAAAGGCTTCTACGATTAATAATTCAAAAATCTGCGTAGTTATTTGCAAGATAAAAGACTTTTCAGAATAGCTTAATCTAGACAAATATATGACGGCTGTATTGTACCAAGCGACGAACATCAGTATACACAAGTAAAAAATATTTTCTACTTGTGTTAAAATCGGCCCTTGTTAAAATTTGTGTTAAATCTTTTACATACCCGCGCGTTAATTTAACATATTGTGTTTATGTTACCTCAATATATTTTGTGTTGAGTTGATATTCAACATGTGTAAGTATTAAAATAACATTTGTAAGTTACACGCTTTATACTTTAGTGTCGATTAACACATTATGGATATTATTATTTTGTGTTAATTTTTCACATGATATTTGTTCACATAATTTGTTGCTTTTCCACATATTCATCCTGTATTAAATGAATACAAATATTTGTGTGGATCATTTAGGACATGTGAAATGTATCAAATTTAACGCAAAATTTTTTACTTTGTATTAGACCTTGAACCTCGATCCTTTGAACTTGTTCCTAGATGCAATAGCTATCATATGTGTGTAGATCAGACCATTCTGAACAAAATATTCTTTTACCATCTCGCAAATAACCACGAAAACTTTCGAGCCATCAATTAAAGAAGCCTCTATACATGGGCATTTTCAATAATTAATAATACAAATTTTAGCGTAGTTTGCAAAATGAGAGAGAACCTCTTCATCCACATTTGACCTAAACTACAAGTCTACGGCGAATGAGACAGCTAGCGTCCGATATCCTGTGATAGTAACTCTGAAATAGTGTTTATGTCGTAGCAAAAATTGCAACAAAGACTGCAAAGAAAAATGTCCACGCGGACGGAAATCTCGATCGCGACGATCGCACGCTCCGGCGAATGCGTGACGCACTTTGCCTCAATTGTAGGGACTGTCACGTAGTCTTGAGTGTACACGTGTCTCCTACGTCGTCTCCAGCCGGCATAAATCTCCGCCGGTCCGCTGTAAAGCGAAAAGTCGGCTCCCTCTTAGGCACACACGCGGCTGATTAAAAATTCTTCAAAGACAAAATCCAGCCGAGCGATATCGCCGTTCTCATCAGCGCGATGTCGCTTATCGCCGACGGTCCTAGCGTATATAATGTAATAGACGCAGCCAGGGCGTAGGTAGGTAGGTAACCGCACCGGCGATACGGTCGGCATAATATTTCAAAGTGCCTAACCAAAACGGGCGGGGACAATGGCGGGCAGCCATCTTTCGCGAGGTTCGCATCAACGACGGGCACCCCCGGACTACCACCCTATCAGCGAGGCCGTACAACGCGGAGAAACACGAGGAAAAGAGGGTTGCCGAGGGTTGGCCTGAGGTTGAGGGATCGTTTAGCATTCGTCGTCGTTTTCGTTTCTGTAGGGGGTGCGTTCCTCTGGCTCTATCTGCGACTCGCTTGTACTCGCATCTCGCTCTCCTCCGCTCAACTCCCCCTTCTCCCTCCGCGCCCTCCTCCTCCGGCGCCCATTCGAAAAAGCAAGTCTCCGCAAACAAAGGGCCGCAGCGCGTCCAGGCAGCCCTGGCCTGGATAAGCGGCCGATCGCGCGATTATAAACGGGAGGGCTAATGCTTATTATGCGCCACCGCACGCGCGCGGCTTCAGCATTCGGCGCCCTCCCGATGGCCAACCGGACGCGGCGATATCGAGCGGGCCTCCTCAAGGATTAGGCGGCGGAATACCCTTTTTGTCCGCTTGTCGCTTTCGTTGCTGTAAAGCGCGCGCGCCTGTTTGGAAGTCGGCGAAGAAGCGGCGGGGAGGATCGAAAATCCGCGTGGTCCCCCCTACGCGCGTGCGGTTTTAATACGCGCTCGGGCGCTCCGTTTTCGCACACGTGCTCACCGGAGGAGGAGACCGGAGGAGAGGGACCGACGTACACAAAGGCGGGCGAGAGCGGTATTGCGGTCACCGATTCCTGGCCATCGCGAAATTGCAATAGCCGAAAGTAAAACTCGATTTCTCCGCGTGTCCGACGCTTTGGAATGTAAAGCGTCAGATGAGCAGCATCCGATGAATAATCTACGCACCGATAAGTTATCACGGAGAAACGTAATGCCCGCTAATCGAATCTTCGTGTTCCCCCGCAACGGAGATGAAATGTCGAGATCGAAAATATATTCGACTTGAAAAAGAAATGTTCGTCTCGGAACAGAGGAGAATCGAATAACTGTCGTTCCTACCGTTTCACTTGGACACCCTGTATTTTCGTCTTGCCCCGCCACCGAAAAAGCAAATCCGCGGGTTCGTTACTGAAAACAGAGACGCTCTTTCATAATTGGCCGATTAAATCGCGAAATATAATTATGCGATTGCTTCATGGTGGAAAAACCTCTTGGTAGGAAATCCTGAAGGGCAACAGAACATCCCCGCTATCAAACTCTTCGGCACACCAACGATGTATCGCACCTGGGCTTGGATCGACCCGCGTATGATTGGTGAATTCTGGTTACGAACAATGGCTAGGATTAAATTCAATCCGTTACACGTGCGACGCCCGTTACTGGGTTAGATCGATCCGGAATTTTTCGAAATTGTTTGGCATTAGGTCCTCCCGCGCTTTTCCGAGATTTCGCTCGCAGCGGTAGGGATTTGCCGGGGCTATTTAAAATTTTACGTGGTAATGCTTTCAACTTAGTCGCGCATACCGGCACCGAAATTTACGGAACAGCCTGCCCGCGCTGTACAAAACACAAACAAGGAACGAAAGGAAAAAGGAAATAAATCGGACGCGATTCGGTTTTTAGACGACGTATGACCTTTTTAAATTCGAGGTAATCGCGACGGCCGATATTTGCGCGCGCGTGCTCACGTCCGTGCGTCGATGATGATAAATTTGTGTTAATCCGCACAGGGGGTAATAGCGTGCGTACGGATATAAGAGCAATGCGCGCGCGCGTTGCTTTTTTGCGCTATCCTAAAATTTAAAAACAAAACAAATTAATGTTCCGTAAGAATAATACATTTACTCGGGAAAATGTTTGCATAATTAATGCGGTTATCGCGATGCGCCAGCGCTCGAGACCTCTTTTTCGCTACTTACTATCGTGGAAATATATCCGATGAATAATATCTACGAAGCGGCTACCGTTTTCGAATTAGCTTGAGTTACCAGCAGCCTCCGGCGTTTATTGGATACGTACGATCGCGTAGTATCGCAGTTACAAGTAACAAGCCGATTTCATTTGTTTCGTTACACATGTACACATTAATATGTCTATCAATGAACCGCAAGCGGATAGAAATACCGGAAAATTTATTCCCGATATTATTTCGTGCGTACAATCGAAGTATACGCATTACAAATATTGATTTGGGGTTAACGCAAATTCGCACCGACGCGGAACGGTTTTCATTGGATTCTATATCAATAAATAAATAGAAAATACGCGCGTCGCGACCGGTAATTCTACACGCCTGCGAATTTTCTCGAATCTCAAAAGTTCCCCCATTGATGAATATTTCTTTTTCATCCCGATTAATGTCGGATCGTTAAATGCGCGAAAATAATAATCAGTTACACCCGTGTCAACTCGTCTTGTAAACCGTGACGTTAGGTTACACACGTAAATGCGAAACAATCCGATATCGTCGGCCGAGCAGCATTGTTTAGCGCCGGTGTGAGTGTATGCATGAGGGATTGACTTCATTCGTTTCGGAGTTCATGCACCGTAGTAATGCACTCGCCGATCGATAGCCTAATGAAGACAAAGGTCTCTTCCATGATCTCTCAGAGCTCTCATGTTTCGCGATTCCAGATATCGGAATTACATAATTGTTAACAGTTCACTCAATCATCGGTCAGCTGTGTGAAATACGCGTTACTTCTCTCTCTCTCTCTCTCTCTTACACGTGTATAGTATAATAATATATAACATAAATATATTATTTTTATCTTATATATATATATATATATATGTGCTTGTGAAACAAAATGGAAAGTGCATTTTATGAAATATTGCTATTTTCAACAATACGCAACACACGAGGGACGTTGTTTATACGAGATGGATTCAACGCGAACGAACAGAATTGCTCGCGTATATCGCAAAGTTTTAAGATCGATATCGTTTCAATTCGTACGCGATGCTTAAACGGTTGTTACATAGTTGGCTGAAACTTGGATAATAATTCGCAAAACACGGCAGAAATATCTCCTACCTTTATCGACGCAACTTCTGTCCGACGGCGCATGATTTCTCAACGCTCGCCATTTTGTCAGAGCCGCCGCTGCAAAAAGAGAACACGGAATCCATAAAAATGTTGTTCAGTATATAGGTGCCATCAAAATCAAAGTTACATAAAGGCGCAATATTTTTTAGCTATACGCTCTTTTTAAGCGCAAACAAGAGCGCGATAATTTCATCAATTTCATCAATTATTTACAGAGCTCACATATTGGAAGCAAATTTTTGTTTTCTTTTTTTTTTTTTAACGAACGAGTCTCAAAGAAATCGCGGGAATGAAAATGTAATTCCTCCGCGAATGTGTTTCCTTCCTATAATAATTATGAATAAATTGAGACGCGCATAATAACGCCAAGAATCGAATAAAAGTAACTTCATTCAGTCATTTGCGCGGTACCAAATAGTTTATTTTAAACGTCAGGATTTTAATCAATGTCGCACTTGCAATAACATAGACAAACACTGAACAAGGAAAATGGACGTCCTTTTACACCTCATTTACATTTAAACAACTCTTTAAAATTCGCGTACACGCTGCGCTTGAATTAGAAAGTGAACACATTGTGTCGCAATTATTGTTAAGAGCGTTAAATGCAAATAGAGTATCATTTAACGGCGGTGATGCAGAGAACAGCTGTAAAATTCTTGAAAAATGGTTGATCACCAATTTTCGTCGCGTTTAATCGCGTACTATTTCGAAACAGCGTTATGTCATCGTCCAACAAGTGAGCAGATCTCTCGAACGAAATTTCGTTTGCATTCCTACCGATTATTTATAAAGGTATTACAACATTCCCTCCCGATTAATGCGTATCGACCATTGTGCCGCGGTGTAAATAAAATATCACATACATATCACAGACTAAATTCAGGCTCTGTGTACGGCAGAAACTTAAAATTAAGAACCGTTATATTTACACTGTAAAACACACGTTTCCCCATGTAGAGCGATGTATTTTCATTTCTTCGAACGAGCGACATAACCGCAACAATAAAAATACCTCTTAATGCCGAACAGAGGGGTAATAATATAGAGCTCGCATCGCTAATAACAGGTCGTAAGATCTAATGACGATATTTGTGCAAATTATAAATAATCGCCCCGATTTTAAGAATAATTTACAGTCGGCGGAAAGCCGTATAACGCGGAGCCAACAAGCAGTTGTTATCAATAACATTTCTGCAGAGCCGTAATATCCCGGGAAAGTAATTAGAGTAAATTCAGGGGCTCCTGGCGACCCTTCCAGCCCGCGCAAAATGGCGGCGGGAACCGCCCTTGCGAAAAAAATTAGGCCTCCTTCCGCCGCGCGGTAAAATTTACATGAAAAAAAAAAAGGAACGCCCGGCGGCATTCGGGGAAACGGAGTTTCGACAATGCGGCTATTTTTATGAATAAATCGAAGGTGCTCCGCTGTACGTGGCTAGGAAATGCCCGTAATTTATGTCACTGGAAAATGCACAGAAAGAGTCATAAAAAAATATCTCGCTGCGTAATAAGGCGACGCCAAAGAACGATCAATACCACGGCGTTCATTACGACGCCGTTATTTAATCTACTCCCGCGGTTTGTCCGGGAACGTTCACACCAAGTGTCGGCGATACGAATGCACCGGATTAATATATTATATTTCTAGACGAGCGGTCTCAGAGCGCGCTCGGTTTTCAGATGTCGCGACAACACATACCGATAGAAAATCTCGAAATTACCCGGAAGCGTTACTTCGCGCGTGTTTTGCGAAATTATTATTAGAACGACACGGAAATCGCGCATTCGGATATCAAGCAATGCGTGTTTATGTGCGCGCGATAATGCGACGCGCGTTATTTTAATCAGGATATAGTATAGAAATTTTACGGATATTCGCGTAGATCGACAAATGCGATCGTTATCGTATTGCAGTACCAAATACTTCTCGTGCCTTCGATAAATCTATATAGTGTATCGACTAATGCATCAGCGGTTTTCCGAACTTTTCTACTTTCGCGATGTGTTGAACGTATTTATCGGCGAAAGGTAATAAACCATATACGCCGGCCAAGTGGATATATGTATGTATGTGTGTGTGTGTGTAATTAATTTACAATAAATAAAATTATTCACGAGAATAAATATAGGAAAGCCTCTCCCTCTCTTTCTCTCTCAGGATACTCGATTTAGACAAAAATTCGGAGAGCCAAGTAGAACATACGCGCGATGATCCGTGCGTAAATCGCTATCAATGATTATTCGTACGTTCTCTCTTAATCGTAGCACATGGCGTTAGAAAGTCGCTCACAGCCGGGAGAGCTCTGAGAACCACTGATCCCTATCGATACACGTACGTTGGTGCGCGCGGAAAACCGAGGCCGTACCATCCCGATGAAAAATTCCTCCGCGTCTACGCCGGTCTTTGGCACGGACACATACAGATCGCGAAGAATAAGCGCGTCCTAATTGATTCCCAGAAAATCCAATTCGCGCCTTCATACCCGAGTAGCGGCCGGGTCCCTCATCAAACCGGAGATGACGGAGGAAGGAGGGTATCGCGCGGCGATATTTTTTTCACCCTCGTAAATATTCCCTTCAACCGGGCATATTAGCAAGCGGTACGTTCTTGGCAAGGAGCCGCTGCTACTGACAGGACATTCATATTAGCAAACGACCGCACGCCGTCCGGCTCTCTTTCTCCGTCTCCGCGTCTCCTCCCGTCCGCCCGTCTCCTCTCGCGCGCTCACCGTGGAAACCATACGGACCCTCCCGTCCTCGAGTGAGCCCAAGTGGGCGCCGCTGATTGGTAATCGTTAATTACTCCGAAGCAACTTCCTCTCGAGGAGCTCCTGTTCCGGCGGTTTTTTCTTTTTTTCAAATATACGCGTTCTGCCGGATGGAGGGTCGCACCGGCGCGATAGAAAGTGAGAGACCGAGAAATAAAATCTTCGACGGCGCGACGCGCTCGAGAGACCCGCGGATTTTCAAACTCTCCCCCTCCCCCCCGTTTTCACGCGTCATTGCTCGAAAGTAATTAACTCGACGGTGTGTTTCTGATATGAAATTGCGTGTACTCGCGAGCGATGTAGGAAATTATATAGGGTGAGACAAGGAAACGGGCGATTTTAGAAATCCATTTGCTCCACCATTATTTTAGGGCAAGACTAGGTTAGGTTAATGAATACACGCGCCAACTCGTCGCCGGTATTGTTCTATTTAATTATCATGGGGCAGTGGAGTGGAAACAAAACGTGCTTTAAAATAAAAATCAAATTTCTTAAGTCCATAATGAAATTAAAAAATTGCCCGTTTCTTTACCCGGTATACCATTCCAGTGGTCTTCGTGTTGGAAAATTATAACACGCTCATTTAAAAATCAATAAAAAATTATGAATTACCGTGATGAAATTCAAATTTCCTCTCTCGAATAATTTCTCTACCGTCTCTTTTTTACAAGATCCTATCCACAGGGTGCATCGATAATTTCACGAACAAGTGCTATCGATTGCAGCAAGGTGTTTGAACGGCACGAACGAGACGGAAGAGGCATCCTCCGGCGTAGAAAGAAATGTCGCCTCCGCAACGAAATCGATCGCGACGATCGAGCCCGAGGACAATGGAGAGGCGCGAAATCGCGGCGGCGAGACTACGGAGCGGCTCCGCCGAAGGAGAGGGCGATACGTTCTCCATTATTACTTTCGCGGATGCCGGCCGCGATAAATCATCGCGGTACATTGCTCGATAGAATTCCCCATAATTCCTGAAATATATTCCTGGAGAGGGCCACCGCTAAGGCCATATCGCGCGTACAGCGGCGCGCACCGCCCTCTCCCTCATAAGATCCCGGGGCCGGCGGGACGAGGAGGAGGACATTAAGGGTAACAAATGAGGCCGCGCGCGCGGTCCTCCCGCAGGACTCTCTTCCGACTGAGGTGGCGGGAATGAAAATAAGTGTACCCCGCTTCTCGCCCGGGCGCCTTTTTTCATCATTTCCTCTTCACCCCCTGTGCGCTCGCCTCCTTCGGTTTCTCTCTCTCCCGTGGTAGCCGGGATTCCTGTTTTAAACGACACTCTCCCTCGCCGCGCTTCACCCGGAAAACGCCTTCCGAGATTTACGCGCGCGTACAACCGTGTCCCTCGCTATGGCGCGCAACTTTTAGCAACCGTTAGCGGCGGCATAAGCGGAGGGGTGGCTCGCGATTATCGCCGGTACCAGCCGTTACCGGCCGCTGCTACAACGGTAGCCCGGCCAGGAGCAAATGCGGAAATATTCAGCAGTTACCGGGGATTAAGGAATGCGTTAATTGCGAAATACTGACCACCGTCGACGACTCCGCCGCCGTATACCGCCGTCGCGGCGCCTCTTCGTCGTACAAAACGGAAATGTAACTTCCTCCGTGTTCGCATATTCACATGTTGCGCAACTTCTGCCGCTCGGCTGACATTTTTCCGCATGTTTCTTTTTTTAGCGTAGCGCGCTTTATTAAAACTTTCCATTTATTTTTCAAACGGCGGGATGATGATGCGCCTCGCAAATGAGGAGAGAGAGGCCGTCGCGGACGGTGATGTAAATTAAGATGCCGCGAAAAACAAGCGCGATCCTTAAAGGATCCGCCGTTTCGCGAAAACGCGCGAAAGAACGGCACGACTTCTCTCTGTGTCGAGGACAATATGTCGGATAAAACGCGGGGCCACACGAACGTGTGTCCAGCGGCGAAAAGAACCAGGTCGGACGGTGTGTGCACGCGTGTGTGTACGTGCGCGCGCGCAATGTGCACGGATGAAGTGACGCGATTGACACTACGTCCGAACGACCGAGACGCGCCAATATTGATACGCGGGCGTCCTGGTGGAAGGACGCCACAGGTTGACGCCGAGGCATCGCTCTTTATCGGTCGGAAGATTTGATGAAACGGACACGACGTGATGCGCTGTAACGGGATTTTTTGTCATCCGGTGTACCGATCGTGTTTCTCCGGCACTTTTCACCGCTGCTGCGCGCTGAAAAACTGCGCGAATTATTATTTTAAGAAATCACGGCCGAGCACTCGATCCGAAATCGCGATTTCTCAAAT